TGTTTAATACCCTCATACCAACCATCATGTGAGTTTAACCATTGATTTTGAAAATATTCGATAAATTTTGGTTCTTTCTTGTTCCATTTTTTGATAAAAAGATTGGAAGCTTTCGTAAACATTCGTACACTTTGTGCTAGTTGTAACGCTTCAATATCTTCTATTGAATCCTCTTGCCCCATCTTCTCTACCATAGATTCAATCTTCTTTAACCCGGTTGCATCTAAAAACTTTTTTTTTCCCATAAGATGTTGTATTCGTATAATATTCACTCCATTGACCTTCATTAACTCCCGCTTGTTCAGCTTCATCAGCATTCTTAAACACCATTTCTTTCATTCACTTACGTTGTTTCTTTTTTGCTCTTTTCTTACGTTCAATGTGTACACTGTCATTCACATCTTCCTCTTCGTCAGAAACATAAGGTAGTACTTCAATGACTTTGATCGCTGTTGCCATATTTAGATGTTCGCTGCCTATTCGACCAGAATGCACCAATCTTAGGTGTCTAACTCTATATCGTCGGATGAATGATAACAAGACAAGTAAGTGATCGTTTCACACTCTGTTTATTTATGCAAAATCATCAGCTATATATAGGATGAGACATCACACATCTTTAGGAAATATCCAACGGATGGTCGAGGTTGAACGATCGGGAAAATTCCATCAGATATAATACATATGATCAATAACACTGAGAGAAAGAAAAGTACTTGTCAAGGGAAAAGATGAAATATATACTATATAAGAAAGGAAAAATCCCAACATATAAAAGTCAGTATTAGAACAAAAGAAAAATACTGAATAAGAGAAAAAAATGACAAGAACAATAATCGAGAGACGTTCTAGAACGGTGAATACTAGGGGTGGCGCATTTTCTTTACTGATGCGTTACTTTACTGAGTAAAGCAACGCTTTCAAATATCACCGTATGAGTGACGAACAACCGAAAATGTATTGTTTTATCACCTTCCGAACACAATGCGACTAAAGCGTTACTATATTATGCGTTACTGGTAACGAGTAACGCATGCGTTATTGCGTTACTGGTAACGAGTAACGCATGCGTTATTGCGTTACAAGTAACGTATAACGCAAGCGTTACTGCGTTACTAGAAAAGTAACGCAAAAAAGCGTTAAAGTAACGCAAATAACGCTGCGTTACT